TACACTGCATGCACATGCATGATATAATAATATACAAGGTAAAAAATCTCTAGTATCAGTTATATAGGTATACCAGCAGTGCAATTTCATACGGATATAGCCTGTAGGATAGCAGGATTATCCAATATTTTGGGATTTAATATTTACATTTTATATAATATTTGTATTTATAGTATGCATAGTACAGTGTATACTGCAGAACTTCTTCTTTGTCATATAGATAATAGATTAATTGTCGGAAACAATTGTGACAAAAGTGTCTCGGCAAATACAAAATATTAACTATACAAGTGATTATTATCGCGCCTATTGAGTATTGAGTATTGAGTATTGTGACTGTTCATCTTTGCATAATAGTTTATACTAGTACTGTGTTGTGTAATTGTTTACTCCGTTACACAGTAACGTTTTGTTAATGTTACTTATTTTTGAAACACATTCTAGTTAGCTATCCATATCACTATAAGACTAAGTGCTTCAGTTATTATTAATAAGTGTTAGTAGATGGACAGGAATATTCGACTAACGGAAATTTACACACTTTTTAAGACCTACTCAGTTGTGTGTGAGAAGGCAAAAATCTATGTCTATGTGCTTCAGGTAGTCTAGCAACTATTTGCCACGTTTACTGTAATACTACCCCACTTGCAAGTGATGAACCATGCGGGAATCGCAATCGTAGTATAAAGATTAATGCTCAGCCGCATAACGTACGCAAAAGAGCCATATATAGACAATAATATAGACATAAATATATACATAAAGTAATACTAATTACTATAGATTATCATAAAGTAATCAGTACTACCAATTATATAATAATGTATCATTATTCATACATTCGTATTTTATAAAGTATATGATGACTATGAGAGTTTTCGTGTTCACCATGGCTGAATACATTTATGAAAAGCTAAAACTGCACAGACAAAATACATTGTAAACACAGCCTATTTAGGCAGGCGCTAAACCGGTGTAAACTATTATGCAAAGATGAACAATATACCGTCATTAGTATTTTTGCGCAAGTGAATAAATAGTACAACAAATCCTACAAGTTGTCAAGTTGATTGGTCAAATTTGACAAATTCCCTAGCCTCCTTCGCAGACATCAGAGAGAACGTACACAACTGGCGCCTGCGAGAGAGACTACAAATTCCCGGATAATCACGGCCTCGCCTTCGGCGAATAATTATTCAAAGCCAAAGGCGCAATAATAATCGCGTGTAGTTTATACTTATACGTGATAGTTTCTCAATATTTTGTATTTGCCAAGCTACTTTTGTCGCAATTGTTTCTATAAATCTATTATATATACGATAAAGAAGAAGTTCTGCAGTATAAACTGTACTATACATACTATCAGGGACCGCGGAGTCATTTTTTGGTTGGGGGGGCTAGCGAACGCCGAAGGCGTGAGCCTTCTTGGGGGGTCCGGGGGCATGCTCCCCCGGGAAATTTTGAAATCTGAGACCTCTCAGAGCCCCAGAAATGCAATAAAACCTGCTAGTTTCTCTTAAAAAGTTTCTTGAATGACTCTTAAGCAAGGCATTATATAAGAGCAAAATTTATTCGTTTAGTACATTTTCCTTGAATAGATTTTTTGTCGAAATTTAATGCCTTATTTAAGCGTAATTTAAATTGCATTTTCCATACTTATCGTCCTTACTTTTCTCAGAAATGTTTTTCTGGAAAGTGCGAGCCTACTAATACATAAGAAGAAAATAATAAATGGAAACAAACAAGGAATAACGTAACGTTTTTAAAAAGTCTGATAGTCCAAAGGAATTATAGTCCAAAAGTCTGACTAATTCTACTGGATTTCTTTAATTAAAGATTATTGTTGAGATTGTAACAGAGATCCTGCTCCGTAAATGAACCAAAGTTACGTTTTCTGTTGTCATTCTTGGACACGAATACATTGGCTACGTCCAATAACCGTATATTGTCACTTCGTATTTTGTGGGTATTTAATATCGCCAGATGACTGAATCTCCTCTGTGACATATTTGCTCTAAGCCATGTTTTTATTCGTCGTGCGGTTGAAAATGATCTTTCACCAGTTTGCGCTGGTTGCCGGATTAACCAATAGGAGTTTACATATGGTGAGTACTTCACTGATCATTTGCTGGGTATTGTGATCCAAATTTTTCACAGCGTCTAAGGCCTCAGCAAAATATTCTAGTTTTTTCCCCTTCATTAATACTTTGAAAATTTCCAGTTGTGGGATAAGAAACTCTACTTTTATATCCTGATGGTAAACCTCCTTTACAAAGGCCATTTCATAAGAAATGTCTTCTGATTTCAAAGATTTTAGAAGAAGTGCTTCTAATTTTGCATAAGCTTTAAAACTGGGCTGGTCAAAACGTTCATTGATGGCCGATACAATCAGATCAAGAGCTTCATAGTAGATTTTTCTGTACAAATCTTCCGACGTTTCAGGGTACCAAGGTTCTCCTTCTCCCACTTCATATCTTGCAGGTGCCTTTCTCTTTCTTGGTACTCTGGATTCCGAAATATCTTTCAAGGCCTCTTTCTTTTTCAAAATGGTTTGGAAGAAAGACTTGAAACATTCTTCATTTCGTATTCCCTTCAATACCTCGGTTGTCAGCTTGGTATTATGTTGGCCGGAAATCGATGACATATTTGCCTTTTGTAAAGTTGCTGACAAATTGTCCGTGTGCCTAAAAATCGTCAAAAGACTTCCATTTGGGTGCTACATCCTATGATTCGTCCACGAATATCTGGTGGAAGTTTTGTCTTGAGGCACTCGTCCCACAGCTTTAAAATAACGTTATAATTATCAATTACTCTCTCAAAACAGATTGCTCGAACCGTCCACCTAGTTGCACTGAATTTTGTAAGTCCAGCAGCCGCCGCGTCTTCTTCCTCCTCGTCCTCGTATTGAAGGTTTTCCTTCAGCTCTCCAAGTAAATTTTCTCGTTTGGGAGAATACTTTACGAGTTTAACAATCTCATTCGTATTATTCATGGTGTTAGATAAGATCTGGCAATTATTTGTTGCATCCTTTACACCTAAGCTCAGGGAGTGACCGTGACAATGTGTGGGAAGGGCCTTTGCTTCACACTCCTGAATTTGTTTTGCCACACCAGATTTTTTACCAAGCATGTTGCTGGCACCATCGTAGCACTGCCCCCTGCACTGGGACAAAGACAACTGCAGTCGAATGAGGCTATCTTTGATTGCCTGGACAATGGTTTCAGATGCGATGTTTGGTATATTGTAAAATCCGAGAAAGTCTTCATGGCCATCAAGTTGTTCGTCAACCCACCGAAAACATAAAGTCAGTTGCTCCTTATTACCAATATCCGTGTATTCGTCAGCTATTATGGAAAAGAATCCTGTTCCAATATCCTTTATGAGGTCCCGTTGAACCTCGTGTGCCATAATTTCAATAATTTCATTTTGTATATCATGGCTCGTATATTTATCACCGCCTCGTTTCTTAAGCAGCTCGAGTAACGCAGGATCGTCGCGTCCCCGAAGTTTCATTAATTGGTAAAAGTTCGACTCAGTATCAGTGTCTCCTTGTATAGCTTGTCCTTGCCGGCATAAAGACTGCAAGTTTTCAATTATTTTCAATAAGCAGCGGCGATTGGTCTGTCTTAGTTTCTTGCTCTGCTCATTTGTCATATCGATAACATTGCCACAGTTCTTTGGGAAATTAACTGCATAATCAATCGCCATCTTGTGACATTCTGAAGATTCGTGTTGCTTGAATTTATCTAGGGACTTTTTCCAGTTACAAAACCCATCCGAGATAAACTTTTGATCTTTTTTACTAGCACACCTTAAGTTTCCCTGAGCGTTTTGCTGAGCGCAATAAAAACAAAGGACCGAGTCAAGCTGTTCATCATAGTGCAGCCAAGAAAATATATCAAACCATGCCGCCTGAAAAGAACGATTCTGTCCAGAAAATTTTCTTTTAGGAAACTCAAAGTTTTTTGGTTGGTGAGGGTTCATATAGGATGATATATTTGTTTTCTTGCAAGGGTCGACGTGTATTACCGCTTGTGGCTCATGTACTTTGGACAAAGTTGAGCTCACAACTGTTGGCACTCGATGGCGTTCTGGAGAAACCTGTGGACTGGACGCGGCTTGGTAGTCATCACTTGTACGAGTTGGAGTTCTAGTTATTTGTGCGACAGACTGGGAGACGCAGGCCTGTGCAGGATCGTAGTAAATCGTTCTTTCATTTCCTGAAATGTTAGGATTTGGCACGTTTTTACAAATGATGTTGACACTAACATGCTGGAAGCAAGGTGTCGATAAAGCCGGTTTATGAAACCGCAACGCCTGCATACAGTCATGAATACGCATTGCGTATACTTGACTGTATGCCATGGTAATATATATGTTTGGGTACCACTTAATACAAACAGTTTTTAGTCAAAATAAGATGTATACATACCACCTGGCGCAGTTGAAAAATAATCTGAAATGGTTTTAGCCTTCTTCTTCGCTGTCGTTCGCCTCTCCTTTGGCTCTTTTGAGCTTCCAGTTCCTTCCATATTTCCATAGATCATATGCGCTTCTTGATTTGTAATAATCGAAGGATTGTACGAACCTGGGTGACCAGAACTGTAGACAATTCGTCGCTTCAGATACTTTTCTCTGTATCTTGCATATATATACAAACAGGAACTGAGTGTTCAATAACCTGTATCCTTTTCGTGAGAATTTTATTCGGAGGTAATTCAGGTTCCAAAGGCAAAGAATAATCAACCACAAGCAAACAGTAAGTTAGAACGACGCTTAGCAGTTTTAACGCCAACATTTTGTTTGGAACGGAAGCAAAACAAGTGTATTCACAGTGTTTATTAAGTGATATGGAATTTCAACAGTTATTTGAAACCAAGTGTGACACCTTGGATACTACCATTTACAAGCAACCGCAAAATCCACCTTTTTTTCACGTTTGTTTACGTTTCAAACGTACACGATGGGCGGGTCAAACGTGCATGTTGAAACGTAACAACAATTAGTTTGAACCGCGAAATAGTGACGTTTGGGCGAGATTTGTCAAACGTCACTATTTCGCGGTTCAAACTAATTGTTGTTACGTTTCAACATGCACGTTTGACCCGCCCATCGTGTACGTTTGAAACATAAACAAACATGAAAAAAGGTTTGGGTTTTGCAGTTGCTTGCAAATGGTAGTAATGCTACGATATACTACGAATTTTAAATAAAGTGGTCAATTGCTATTAACACCTCTTGACATTATTGCATCCGATCAAGGTTGAGACCTGTTGTTTGTAACTATGTTTCCCTGGTTGGAAGTGGCCTCTGTAATTTTGAAACACGCAAATCAGACATTTAATATTTTTCTGGACTACGCAAAGAAAAGTGCTATCCGCGCTATATTAAAATCAGATATGTATGAATAATTATTGGGGGGGGGGGCTAAAGCCCCCCAGCCCCCCCTGCTCCGCGGTCCCTGGTCTAGTGACTTAGTCAATACATCAAAATCATCCCATCCTCCATCATGTAAACAGCCCAGAGTATGCCCGTTCACAGGTTAGGTGCTGGGCATGACCTAACTTTTGAACGGGCATACTCTGGGTACGAGATTGTTAATACGCTTGTTCAGGATGCAGGAAAAGACCGAAAAGTGCAATTTGAATATCAAACACCTTGCACAAAGTCGAAGTTCAGCTAAGATTTTAATCCTACTTTCTTGGTGTGGGGGGTTTTATATGAATCCCTTCAATGCTTATAACTTCTTGCTTTTGTATGTATAATTATACTGTTAATGGTGAAGCTAGCAATATTAAACTAAACTCTACATGTCCAATGATTTATTCAAGTATCGATATCATTGTTGATATATATGGCAATATGTCATTGTACAGTATTCAGTGGCAAGCTAGCCACGGCAACTGGTCATGCTATGCTAATAAACCTGGATCTAAATCATTAAAAACTTGCACAACATGACTTGTTGCTACAATTTCATATACCTTACTTATATAAAAATTTGCGCAGTACTAGAATTCGCTCAGCGCTGGGTTGCGCGAATTTTAGTAATGTGCGAAATATAATCCGCGCGAAAAGCTTTGTGATGTTATATGAGACACCGGTTGTTTAATAGTAATGAGAACCATACAATAAATGTTCGCCGTGGATATTCGTCCGACATCATCAGTCCATAGTCATTAATTAAAGTCGTTAAATATAAAACCGCGTAAATTTAACTGAATTTCAAGCGAATCCTCCGTAGTGTTGTGGTTTAGGCCACATTTAGGCACCCGTATTGCGTGCGCCAAGTTCTGGGATCGATTCCTGCTTGCGCCACTACCCTATAATCTTTTTTAAACTTTTTTTTTCTTCGTGGTTTTTGCTTACGCACCGCGTACGAAACCGTCGAAACGTATAGCGTATAGAATAATATGTTGTTGCTTCGTTCTTAAGAAACAACGCAACCGTTTAGTGATTTAGTGTTAGCTTTTAAAGTGTTGTCGGATTAATAGCCGTGAAGCAAGAAGATCCTGTGTCCGACGAGTATCCACGGGGATAAATGTTTTAGTTTTATTACATAATTTTGAAACACTACAATATTTTTGAGGCCAGCGCGAATATGAACAAGGTGCGCGAAATTAAATCGCGCATGAGTACGGACAGTACGACGCGATTATTGTTTTAATGGCACCTTCAAGGCTACCCCTACTAAAGAACAACTGAACAATCTGCTGATGAGGAGACAAAATATATTTCGACAATTTTGTCAGCTTTAGATGACCATTCATTGGTAATGACTAAGATTGTAGAAAGAAATTCTGAGCAGGTGAATATATGAATGTAAACCGGTATATTACATATAATGCTAACCAATGGACATATCTCAGATACTAAAAGTACATTTTGACTCCTTGTGAAATATAAAGACGATCAGTGGGCATTATATAGAACTGCAAATTCATGAAATCATATTGGTTACAACTTACAATACCTCTATATCGAACACTAAACAGCAAATCTAAATATAAATGCTCATATATATCACCAGAAAGAAATAAAGCTATCCTGGATGATTCAAAATATTGTCGATCCTTTGCATCGTATTAAACCGTATTAAATCCTGAGAAAAATCATGCGAGCGCAATACAAAATAAATAAAATCGAACCAAAATCGAATAAAAAGAAAGAGTCGTCGAATGCTCGAGCTGACGACAATTTCCAAAAAATCTTGACATCCGAAGGACTGACATGAATTCAGTATGTTTCCCCAATATAACTCGGCCGGGGACTGGGCACGAAAAAGCAAGAACGTCATGTAACGTCAAGAATAGGGAGCTGCCTCGCGCAAAAAGTGATTAGCTCATTTGGCTGATGTTACAGTTTTCTGATGTGTTTTGTTTGGATGATATTAGAACAATTTCAATATGAAAGTGCAGGTGTCTTTAGACATGAGCCATAATGTAGATATCAAAATACTGATAAAATCCGTTTCCAGCTTGATTGTATTTGCATTGTTGCAGTCAAAGTTGTGCAATGGTGGGCTTATATGTCACATACTCGTATGTAATTCCATGTTCCTGCATGTACATTGATGCTTCAAGAGATGCTTTGAATGTGTAATAATAAAGGGCTGTTCGCAGGAGTTGGGCTGTCTGGCCTTAAATTGCATTGTTTTTATGATATTTTAAGATTGTATTCATATGGCTGGACCATCTTGCCATTGCCACAATGTCTGATGTTCAAACAGGCTTTCAAATCAGGTTACAATGCATGCTTGAAAATATGCAACAATTTCACTGCTAATAATATTCCAGAAAATCCTGCCTCTTGGGCAGATCTGGACTGATTTGTCAGAAGGGGTTGAGGGGGTTGGAGGTTTTCTACTTGTGATCGGGCAAGGGGAGCTAGCCAAGGGTGCTGGGTCAGAGTCAAACTCATGTGAACAGCTTCTAAGTCCTAATTATATTGATAAATTATGTACACTTTGGGATGGTAATGCTATTTGTAAAATATTCCACATTTTATTTAATAAAAATTAATTATATACATTGTTTCTGTTGTTTATATTAACACCTTGGACAGTGTATATTTACACCTTTGGACCCTGTAAATAAATACCTTTGGAGGGTGTACCCATTCTAAGCCAAAGATGTTTAAGAACAATTATCAAGGTATTTGCATGATAAAATATATTTAAAACTCCTCTCCATATACATGTAATGCATGGTTCAATTCTTGCTTTTACCAAGTAAACCCAGGGATTTTCAATGTTCCCCTCCTCCCGTAGAATTCACTTGAAATGACTGGGGCAAGGTAGCTATAAATATAAGTAGGTATATAAAAGTCAATTAAAATTTACAAATAGAGCTTTTTGAATATAGACCATTGCAAATTTTTTTTAAATTTTTAAAATTTGTTCAACCTTTTATAGTGGCAATGTGCCCTACTTTAGTATATTACTCCATCTGGTGCCAGACAATTTTACTCAAGGGCAGAATGTAGACTTGTCACAAGTCGACCTCGAACGAAACATCAGCTCACACTCGCTGCTTGCGTTTTGTTCGAGGTCGACTTGTTGCAAGTCTAGGCAGAATGCTGCCACTCAATGAGTTAATATATTCTCAGAACAGTTACCATCAAATTAAATCTATTTTGCTGGCAAAATTGCCTTGGAGGGGGTCCTTGATTTGTTGAGGGTTTTTTTTCTGGGGGGGGGGTGAGTGTTGTAAAAAACAGAATAGCACTGGTTTCAGAATAGGAAGAATTGTTGTAATATAGGTAATATAATTCTAAGACAAATCATCCAAAGGAAGCTATCATTCTAGGTCTTGTAGTGTATGTTACAACAGGGATGGATTTACTGGGGGTGCACCTCCCTGGCCAGAGGGGGTGTTATTTTTCAGGATAAAGCAAAAAATTATTACAGGCAAAATGAGATACAGTAATCTGGGTAATGACACGATGTAAGCAAGCTGTGAACAACAATTACAATTCAAATACAGTAGTAAAGCAAGACTTTGCAGTAGTGAAGCAAGTTGATGGGCGGGCGGCATACATGACCGACACAACTCGGCACCAGAGCTGGAGAGCACCCCCCTCCCCTACCAGATCATGCTCGGCCCATCCCTGTGTTGCAAAATGTATTTTCTTCATAGTCGGGCATTTACATGAATGAACATTAGAATTGCATCATGTTATATAGTCTTAAATATTTCCTTTTCTCGCCTTCCCAATGACAAAAAGGGAAAAGCCCTGGGAAAGAGGTTGCAATTTCCGGTTTGCGCGAGGCGACATGCGCGGCTTCAACAACTTCAGAGGTTCCGACGCGAGTTGCCCTTCTATTCATTTCTTATTCTATGGGGGTGTGAATAACTTTTTTCTACACTTTAGTATTTAAGGTCAGTGGTGTTCACCATAAATTTAGGTCGATTGTGACGTCAAAATGACGTAAATTTGGACAAAATCCGCCATGTTTTTGGTCACACATTTTTGACTGACGAGGTATTGGAGCCCGATCTCCAGATATATTAAGTATAGCTCAGTGGTCTGAACTAATTAACTATATAGACATAGGACGCGTGGTTATTGTTATACTATACTAAATATATTATATATATTAATATTGTAATACTATACTAAATATATTCTATGGCACAAATATGCATCTAGTACTTAGATATTACAATCACCTTGGCTAAACAGCCTCGACGTTTCTATCCGAATTGAGACGTCCACTAATCTCGCATACTGAAAACGAGGCTCAATAACTACTAAAAGTGTCGCACTTTAATTCCGAAATGATGAATTATAGTTGAAATTTAGAACAGAAATTTTTAGAACATTACCAAAACTTTTCTAGACTCAAAATTATTCAAAATATAATAGAACCTTACATTGGGAAACAATGAAAAGGAGGATATAATAGGTTATAGGTCAGCCGTTATAATTAAGTCTGTATCTAATATAAGAGTTCCCATCTAACGCAAAGATGACTTCTACATTAATAATGAATTTAAATGATGAAACAAAAAAAATTTGGCACAAAAAAGTTGGATCAGTTTCATCTCTCCAACAGCCCAAATTTTTGTGGCTAGCCCGTTCGCGGGCTAGCCACAATGTAACGCTAAAAATGTTTGTAAGATATGTGAAGTTGTGACGGAGATTGTCGACTTTACTTCGGAAAGTGTCGTTCATGGCATGAGGCGTCGATATTTACAGATGAAGTATATACTTAATCTATGATATTAAATCCCACAGAAAAGATATTTAGCGACTTTAATAATACTGGCAGATGCCTCACTTAGCAAATTTACAGTTGGCACTCACTGCAAGAAATGCTCGAAGGAATTTTTCACAGCAAACGGTAAGTTAATTTTTGTTATTTCAATCGATATTTATGTTTAGGCAGGCCTAAAATTTGTGAATCTGTCATTTATTTTAATTTTATAATATATTAAAACATTGTTGACATTGTCTTTGCTATTCATATCTGCTGTGGACTCTGATTCTGGTCAAAGAGATTTTGATCACGCTTCATATAAAGCATTATAGTGAGTTCATAATACTGTTTTATAATCAAACGTGCTTGCACAGATCTTGAATTTTAATATATCATTATGTGGGTAAACTTATAAGAAGCAAGCCCATTGCTGGCATATTACAACTCCCCTATCCACTTGCAGGTATAAAACTAAAATTAACACAGAAAACAGGCTGGACTATTTTATATTACTATAGTCTTTTATGGTCACTGGCATTGCACTGACTGCAAATTAATGGGTGCTATTATTGAGATGCCGGTTCGTTCAATGGAAGCTCAGGCTGTCTACGTACAGTTGAAGGATCTTGTAGATGGAAATAATTGAGTGAAAATGTATTTCCATTCATTAGACCTAACCAGGAATCTAAAATCAGCAGGGACGTAGTGATCGACAAAGGGTTTGGGAGTGTCAATCCCACTGTGAAACTCAAGTATAAATTTGACATTTTCAGGTTAAATTTGCATATAATTAATAAAGTTGTTATTTTTGTGAAATGATATCTATTTTTGATACAGTCAATTTAGATCCAATTTGTTTGCAAATGTGCTTTAGAAAACACCAGAAATGTAGTAGTGGAGCTTCAAAAATGAAAACAGTTTCTAGGGGAGGACGCCCTGCACCACCTTTTCTTAGGAAACTTAGTATCACAGTGGAAATCAATCAGAAAAACCTCTATTATATAATTATTATACTTCAGGTAGATTTTTAACATTGAAGTTCAGATTTCAAAAGTTCTCCGATACACCCCCCCCCCCCCAATGTCAGATGCTGCTACATCCCTGAAGATCAGTGCAATCACCATACAACACTAAACCTAGCTTGCCGTTATGGCGGTATATGAAAAAGCAAACACACAGCCATTGTGCTGAGGTCATATCGACAAGTTTCAACCTTTCTTTTCCATTTTCAGCATTTAATAACAGTGCTCAGTGTCAATTGAGTAGCATATGTTCGTACGTTATAGCTAGAGTTAAATGTTGTTTAAATTATATACCTGCATCATGTGCATCTTTTACAATATTTCATTTGCAGATAAAAGCACAATTCAAAATCATAGTGATGCATGACTGACATCTACAGTGCTTCAAACAACCATGTCAACACATATTCTGGACAATTTGCTGATAATATGGTGACTGGTGATAATATTGGATAATATTGGAAGATCAGAATATGCAAGTATCAGGGCAATACAACTATCAGACAAAAGTTTCAGTAGTGATGACATAATTGATTGGATGAGTTCATTATAAATTACAATGCTTTTAGATATAATAAATTACAATAAATAATAATGTTTAGAAATCTAGTATTAAATATTATTTTAATGAACAACTTTGAATTTAACCCATTGCGCCCTACATTTTTACTTGTTTAACGCCAAACCATTTTACTCGTCAGTGAGAAAGCTCCGCAGCTTAATGGGTTAAAGGTTTTATGAAATCTGCGATGCCAACAATTCAAGAAAAGCTAATAACTTGTAAACCAGACACCAGAATATATTTATAACCAGAAACGCATGTAATGAAATCTTAGTGAATTACATATTAGTGAAATTTTGAAAAACAATAAAAGTGACATCATTAGTTGCTGAATATATGCTTATTATTAAAGTGTGACTCGATAATATTGTTGGCCGAACCATTGCTACAAACCATATTGCTTTTAAATCGAGTGATTGTCAGTATGGCATGTTGTAAAACATGGACTGGACCCTGGACTGGACTTGTAAACTATGGACTGGACTTGTAAAACATGGACTTGTAAAACATGGACTTGTAAAACATGGACTTGTAAAACATGGACTTGTAAAACATGGACTTGTAAACATGGACTTGTAAAACATGGACTTGTAAAACATGGACTTGTAAAACATGGACTTGTAAAACATGGACTTGTAAAACATGGACTTGTAAAACATGGACTTGTAAAACATGGACTTGTAAAACATGGACTTGTAAAACATGGACTTGTAAAACATGAACTTGTAAAACAGTATTATAGATGATATGTTTCTCCATATGTATACCCGTATAGAGAAACAGCTGTGTGATATGTTTGCTGTGTTTGCTTGCTCCTGCAGCCCCCACCTTATTTTGCCCCCGGAATTGCACAGACAATAACGAAATTGATTGGACCGAGTCAACATAATTATTTAACTTCGAAAATATTTAATCCTATTTTGCATATCTATGTTAATAGTTTTTTAACTAACATTTTGATAAAAAAACTTCCACTATATTTACATGGCCATGGCATGCATTTTCTATCATAGCTACAATGTTGTAATTAAGCTAAATTCAGTTGCAAAACATGAATTTCGATAGACATAGTTCACTAACTCAACAAAACAAAACGAAACTCAACAAAACATTTCATTGTCCTTAGTGCCTAACAAATATTACTGGTACCCGTTATTAAATATTCAATCGTATATCCGTGTGAAAGGAAAGCTTGACTGTAGTAATGCCAGTGGTGCCGTGGCCGGGGGGGCCAGGGCGGGCCATGCCCCGCCTATTGTGGAGACCTGTCGGAAAATTGTCAACGTTGTCGGAAATTGTCAAATTTTCCGACCTTGGTATATTCGGAAAATTTTGGATGGATGGAGAAAATTGGTGATGTCCGGAAAAATTTTAAGATGCAACGAAAGATTTTGGTATGTCCGGAAATTTTTTTTACCCCTAAAATGGTACACTGACGGAAATTTTGGCGACGGGGGGGGGGGGGAAGGTCGCCCAAAAAAATTTCAGTAAAAAAAATTTTCGCGACGTTTCTGTCGGAAACTATTTTCCGGTTTGTCGGAAAAGTACTGCCCTTGGCCCCCCCCCCAAAAAAAAACATGGGTTCCACGGCGCCACTGAGTAATGTCCGCAAACGGAAACACACTATGTTATGATCAGGGAACTCGATGATGCATTTGAGTCAATGATTCTCCAGGCTATAAGAGATCGAATTTTTGCGATTGAACTATTATTGTAACGATTCACAATTTGATCGTTACGTTATTTTTTTAAATTTTGGAGTTGGTAGAGCTGCAGTCCTTTCTTTAACGGCTTACGATAAATATCCCTCAGTGCATGTACACTATATAGTATGGTAGAGTTAATAATGCCTATTACTAAGACAAGTTACTCATTTCCTAAAAATGTATCTATGGTACTGTATGAAACCATGTATTAACGTATTTTCCCTCTTTAGTTATTTTGTTGAAAATTAAGTCCCAATTTAACAAATATTAAGTCGTAATGTTCTTGAAGAAGAAATGGGATAAGATCGTCAGGCAAGTGGCAGGATGCAGGTGTAAATTCAGGTAGTGCATTCCGCGCACAATACTGGTTAGTGTGTATATACACCGGTGAGATAGATGGCGAGACTTGCATTACCCCGTCCTTCGGATATTTTCGGTGCAGCCTGGTGATAAGAACAAGGTCGTGTGGTGGAGAAGGTATTGGTTTTAGCGGATCCCCGCATCCATAGCAACGCGATACTCTGCTGTCAAGGAAAGGCAACCTTCCAAACATGAATACGCCAGGGCTAGGTCTTGGACGTACCGGATAACGAGGCTGTGTGCCAGCGGCTATTTGAAAATTGGCTGCTTGTCGTTCAGCGACGACGCTTACGGGCGATGCCATTCCAGGTCGAGAGGAAACGTTTGTCGATGATACTCCTGGATGAAAGAGAACGCTTGCCGATGTCATTGCAGGCCGTAAGGGAACACTTGCCGACGTTATTTCAGGGCGAAAGGGAACGCTTGACGCCATTGTGGGCTGAAAGAAAACGCTTGACGGTGACGCCATAGTAGGCTGAAAGGAAACGCTTAACGGCGCCATTGAAGGCCGAAAGGTACTACTTGCCAATGTTACTTCATGATCACGATGAAAGCCAGCGCTTGTCGATGTTACACCAGTCTGGAAATACGCATTATTCGTGGCTCGAGGTTGTTGATGTGGCTGTGAACAACACGACTTGCAACAACGGGCATTCCTTCGGTTGGTGTTGTATTGGCGGCTCCCTTTCTCTTTCGTGTTCCAGATTTACGTCCTTTATTTTGCGGCATGTTGATGTTGGTGATAGTAGTCAAGTTCGGGACGCGTTTCTGCTTCTTGAACCATGTTAGAAATTCTTTCAGGCGCTCTATATTTTCAGATACGGCCAAGGTATGCGAGCACAAACTATATGTTGACCAATTCACACACGCTTTGTCACACGTCACTTTGCCGCTTTTGGGACATACCATCACTCTGTGCGGATTGTCGGATGAGGTGCTGTGAACCATGAAGGCCGGTTTATCCTGGGTGTCTGTCGTAGGCATCTTCCAGATATAAGAAGGGTTGTTTACCAAAGTAGCAGCTCTGCCAAACATTCCTGTGAGAATAGGAAATGAGACGTCGATAATCCCCGATTCTTCTGGACTTATTGATAAGGCTTTCGTCTCGTTTGGTCGCTTGGTATGGGCACTTGGTGTTTCCGTTACTTTGATGGAAAAAAACTTCTTCCGCAGGGACGTCTTCTGGCCATCTGTCATTGAGTAGAAGTTACGTTCTTGAACTTCCAGAAATGTGAACTCTTCGGTTACCCTGTATTGACCTCTTCCAAGAACCGCGAGAAACTGTTCGTTCTGTTGCCGTTTGATTTCATTTCTAATTCTCTCCACATAAGGAAGCAGCGAGACTTCTTTCTTGGAATAGCTGGAATTCTCTTCCGCTTTGATGACCCTATTCATGCATTCGTTGGCATTCTGAGTGTAGACTTTGGGAGGATATCCAAGACCACACACAGATCGAACATCAGCTCTAGCTGCTTCTCGAATGACGTCCTTGAGAAAGTATTCCACAAACTTCGCACCGTGATCGTGTAGTGTATCCCACTTTTCGACGACTACCTTGAGAGCTGTATCAAATTCATCAGACGATGTGCAGTCAACTAAACCTCCCTCAATTCCACCGTCCACTTTCTTACCGAAGATGTCGAATACTATCTCAGAAGCAACATTTCCTGCGATTCCAATTTCACTCAGCTTTCGTTTGACGTTATCCCTCATGTGGATGTCGCAACGCAGATGCTTCGCAGTTGGATACGCGTCTCAAAAGGCTTTGGCCATCTTTTCTTCCCCGTCGGTTCCATAAACCAGAACTCCACTTGTTCCAGCGCAGTATTTGGACATTAGAAGAGGAAGTGTCTTGTACGACGTGTAAAGCTTCTGCTTATGAAGGATTCCCGGACCAATGAAAACAGGATGGTTTCCCTTTTCTGTTGTCAACATGAGATTCCTGTATGTAGTGAAGGTGAAATAGAATCCTGCGATTTGAAAGGTAGCGTCTACACCAACAATACAGAATTTTGCTGGGTTGGTACAAAAGCGTTCAATGTCTTTCAGTTGTTGTTCAGATGCAAGAAAGACTATTGGCTCTGGGAACAACGGAATCTCTCTAATGAAAGCATTCTCGACCCTTCCTTTTTGGTCCTCTTTAGCCTTTGTGATGATCTGTAGCAATGGATCATTGTTTGAAAGGGTTGTCCTGGCCTTTTCGTTCTTTAGTTTTCTATTTACGTTATATACTTGGTTGCGATTGCGAGGAAATTCACCAGACTGGCTGATACTCATTATACCGCCTCTTTCCTTAATGATTTCGTGGGACGTCTCTCGTGGTGGAAATACTGCAAGCTTTTCCACAATCAGATCCTTTGTGCTTTTCATCGTTCGCTTTAATCAAGGTTTCCCAAAATTGTTATTTTTGCAGTTCCCATGAGCTTTAATGTCGACTTCCTGTTCCCCATCTTCAAAAATATATTGTACAAAGCATAAATCTTCGGGGAGACTGGAAACCATATTTCGGGCCATGACAACAATTTTGCGAAGTGATGGCAAACTTTTGTTTTTGAAGAATTGACGACTGAGTTGGTATTGTGGCTCGTCTGCAAAGTCATCTTCCCTGTATATCACTCCTGCGTCGTCCAACGAGTAGCCAAACTTTTTGGTTCCAGTGTAATGCCATGCACCAAGATCGTCACACTTCACATCTTGATCGTTTCGAAGCTTGGTGGTGTCAACAATAAACGAAGTGTTTTTACTCACGTTTGTTGGAACCTTTGTAGCTACTTTCGCTTGATCAACATTCCCTCTCAGAAGTATCCCTGCAATCTCATCTGTCGATACGCCTTTGGTTAATCCCCACCGAAATACAGGAAAGGCAGGGTCATCGCCGTACAAACGCGGTGCTTCAATACCCGCTTCTGGTAAATCGTCGTCGTCTTCCAATCCAGAGGATGACAGAAAATTGTCGTACGCTGCACCCAACACCTTGTTAGTGGTTTCTAAAAATGTTGAATTATAGTCACGCAGTTAAAACCAAATTCACTTACATTTATACTAAGGGCCGTACCGAGGGGGGTACTGGGGGGTTAACCCCCCCCCCTCCCCAACGTTTTTAGAATTAACATATTCGGAAAAAATCAGGTTGGTCATTCGGAAGATTACGGCAATAACAGCATAACAAAATTTTAGTTGTTAAACAGGGAAAATACAATATAATTGTATTGTCAGTATAAACTGATTTACGAAATCATGGGATTTACATGGATAACATTCAACAAATCGTCGGTTTATTACTTCTCAGGGCCGTAGCAACGGGCTGGATAATTTGCTAATAATCATTCTTTTTTCAAAATTATGCAGACCTTTATCATTTAAATAATATACCTTTAAAATACTGACAATTCATTAATTTTAAGCGGCTACATTATTCATGACAAACTGCAAAGAATCATATCACCCATACTTTCATGCAACTTCTCCAATATATAGTTAATTAAATACGCCTTCGCCCATTTAGTACCACTAAATTGCAAGCAAATTGTAAATTTCGACATACTAAAACGCTGTTTTCTGACCATCAGAATTCTGTCAAAACTTCCCCAAAGTCCAGGAAATGGCATTTCAGAGACTCTAAATTTAAAAATTTCCTCGGATTTTCGGCCGTCGCTCTCAGCCCTCCAATCAAAAAGAGCTTCCTACGGCATTGCATGCTTCAGTAATATATCTCTGTGTGTATAAACTATGCGTATTTTTGCTTGTAAATTGCGTCTTCATTTTCCAGATAGCAAACACCTTCGTGGCTTCGTGTGCCATGAAGTATTCGGATTTTTTTCCGTCGTCATTCGAAAATTTTTGGCCTAGGAAAATTTTTGACATGCTAGCTACGGCCCTGTAATTATACTGAATGAACATAACTCGTATAAAGCCACAACTGTGTACAGTCTGGCTGGTCTAATCATTAATTAATTATAAATTTTGAAAGCACTAAAAGTAATAAGCCACAAGGAGTATACAACATGGCTGCAATAAACTCAATTAAGCGTCACATACCGCGCGGAAGTAGCATGACAAGTTGTACATAGTCATAGATGTGTTCAACATAAGTATTTATTAACAAGCTAGAAGCTCATCCATTTAGTTCAATACATCCGATGGTTTAATTGAACTAACGATACACTTGAAGTAGTGTCATATCGAGTAAAAAGTAAAAGAATACCGAAAAAGAATACCAATATGCTTTCAAGGAGTATATATAAGACAGATAAGCAAGATTACACGTACTTGATTTGGACAGAACACTGACTTGCTCAAAATAGAAGGCCTCATATGTTAGGGAATATACTCAGAAAAATCACCGATATAGTGATTTTCTTTTTGGGTGAGCTAAAACTACATACCTTCCAAACTCCTTTCATGAACTTGCTCTTGTTGGAGTAATTCAGTTATGAAATCGCATCGTTCTTCCTTTACAAATATCACATCATCCACGTCGGTGTTCATAGCTTGTGTACTAGGCACAACACATAAAACCTCAAGACCATCAGTTTCAAGCGTATTTTTAAGGCTTTTCCGCAGCCCATCATGTTCTTCGATATGTTCTAAAAATTCATAAAAAATTATATCAGTTTTCATGCATGAACCATGCTCGGCAAATTTAATAACCAAATTATATGAGGCCTACTCTGGGGCGGTAAATCGCCTTAAATCGCTGCGATATAATGCGATTTTGGGCGATTTTAGGCGATTTAAGGAAAAACTGGGACTTTCAAGCACTGCGATTTTAGGCGATTTAAGGCGATATAAGAAAAAAATTTAAATTTTAGGGATTGCAATTTGGGTGTTTTCAAAGGAATTGAATTTTATATTTTGCTCCGGTTTCCTCCCACAGGGCAAAATTGGCAGGGTGGGTTAGGATAAACACAGTTAGGAAAGTAATGTCATATCCTCATTGTTGCAAAGATAAATAGTCTAGGCTAACATAAGTAATCATAGTACTTGATGTAATCGGTCACTGAAAAGCCCCAATGTGGGGAGTGAGCTGAATAATGTAATGTTTCCACACACATATATGCATTGTATGAGGCAAAATACAATTATTAGAACATGTATGTACATCATGTTTCGGTCGCTACTCTGGTTTAAATAAATGATTACAAAGCCCAGTCGAATTGTAATCAAGACCCAACGTTTCGACACTGCAGTCTAGTGTCTTCATCAGGGGTGATGTACATTTTATATAAAGCTAGGTTAACTAATTATTGTATTTAACCTGATTCACATATAAAGCTCAATATTCATGAACTTTTCACCCATTCTCTATTTAGAAGCCATTGGGGTTCATCTTGTGGGGTCATGTGGTCATTCATGGCTACATTATATACCACAATTATTGTAAACAGTTAATATACTCTACTTAAGGGGCATGCACTACACATGTCTTAAACTTTAATATTATTAATTTATGTCGAGTTAAAATTGCAAAATATAATAAATATTTGATTTCCAAAATAAGCTATAATCCTATAAGTTACCTTGTCACCCTTATAAGTAAAATTGTCTTGTTTTGTATCATGTCAAAACTTCTTTATTTAGCTTGCATTTTATTTAAACTGTTTCAATCTCGTGCTTACTTCATGCTATTTATTTTCATGCTTTATACATATTTATAAAGTATTCGGAAACTGTCGGCGTAATGCCGTAATGTTTAAATTACATGAAGTATATCGTATATAAATGGTAGGAATTCTAAATTACTAGTTAAAATTAAAAAAAAAATAATAATACAGTGTTATAAAACAAATGGCGCACTACATCGTGGTTTTAGGTTCTGCAAACAAACAACAACAAAAGATCTATTGTATGGTATGTAAGATGTAATCATTGTTTTACTGTTTATTGTATATACAGGTCTGGAAAATTTAATAGACGAGAGTTGCAAATCGCTCATAACCTCACGTATATTTTTCGTTTGATAGCCACTATAATTATAACTAGGAGCTAGAGTATAACCATACACATGTCGATTGAAGTACAGCCATTGTATACAATGCAGTGCTCGATCTTACATGCAACAGTGCACAAATTACAGGATGACTTTATTATATAAATCAACACTCGTACTCATTGACTTTCGTAGTCTCCTACTGTTGTTCTAATTAACAGCAATTAGGCTTTAAGAAGCCATGTAGATTATAGATTAATTTGTAGCCCAGCCTCCATAGTCCATATAAATTGTAGCCCAGCCTCCATTTACACCAATAATGAAATTAGCGCATTCTGATAACTAGCTCAATTTTGTTGCTGGTAGTGTATGGGATCTATGGGTCTTTTAGATCCCAGAATTACCTAATTATTGTAAAGTCTGCATAAAGCAGAAAAAGGCTCTGTTTTTGTCAATGACCGGTGCCTATTGGGTGACTAAATATTGTCAGCCTAATCCACTTATTTGATTGCTAATTCATGTTGCATTACTTTTGATTGCAAAGCACCTGGATTACATGCATCTCTCTTAATTCAAACGATTGAAATTTCAATCTATTCGATTGAATTTTCAATCTTTTTCAGACTGTTCTTAGGGACCAAACGTTTACGATTGAAAATCACTCTTTTACACGACTGAAAATATAATCAATGTAAATCGATTTATTTTTTAATCGATTTTCAATCTTTCTTCGACTGAAATGTGGAGAAAATCGAAAGTCACACTTTGTTACGATTGAAAATTTTTCACTCTAAAAGAATGATTAAATTTTCAATCTTTTCGATTTTCAATCTTTTTTTAATCCAGTCTAGACTGGTATGAAGGACCAAACGTCTCCGATTGAAAATCACTCTATTTTTAGACTGAAATTATTCAATCTATGATAGATTGAAATTTTCAAATCTATTAGATTAAAATCGCCAATCTATCAGATTGACTATTTCAATCGTAAATAGGGCTGATTCTTCATCAATCGAACATCTAGACTGAAAGAAAACACAATATATACACATTACAAAAAACATTAATTAAAAGATAAATACTTTCACAAGATATTCACGTATAAAATTAGTTTGTATATTTGTTTCACAACACTCAACAATTGGGTATTATGTTGTTTAAATTTATAAAAAAAGAGTTGATATCATATATAAATAAAACATGTTTATATAACAGTGTTAATAACGTGCAGGTCAAATTTTAAAACTCAACATCCCTGCATGAAGAGCCAAGAGCTCTTACCGTTGGGCCCGTTTCGCACGGTTTAATCACCCCATAAATCATAGATGCTACGAACTCCCAAAACTGGAGAAGGGGAGGTGCGTACTCTACGTTAAAAACGTAGTGCGCTTTGAACAAGATGTCAAAGCTCTTGATGAGGTCTGGGCCACATGGTATGACTATCCTATCTAAAACTAGAAAGAATTGATCAGGCTTTGATGCTTGTCCTGTTGAAAGCAGAAATGGTTGGGTATATACGTCATCCTTGTTGTTTGCTGCTGCTTCAACATCACTTCCACTCTACAAGAAATAAGAAACTAAGTTAATATATAGACTGCAGTGCTCAATGTACTTTTTACATAAGCTGTTGCTTTATTGCTGGACTTAATATTTCAAGGCTGAGGCGAAGCAGAAGACAGGATCAAAATGCGAGGGGCCTGAAATGTTGACCAGTGGGAATTAGAGGGCTTTAAATTAAATGACCATCTCATACGAATAAATCACTACTTAAAACAGGGTGTAATAAATCAAACTTTTTAGCCGTACCTGACTGGCACTACAATGATTATTGCTGCGTATTTAATTAGCTGGTACAAACTTAAGACTCAAGGTATATTTATAGTCTTTAGGATGAAGTACATAATGTACAAGTTTCTGAAAGGTATATTCATTCAGTAATCTGAACTAGTAGTTACATACACAAACACTACAATCGACTCTAACATTCCTTAGTCCCATCTCATCATGTCAGTCCAATCAGGTTTAATTCCAAGTTATGCCAGACTTGCACATATTCCAACTAAATTATGATTTGAATAACTTGGGCTTGCACAGGTCAAATGGTACAAGCAAAAAGTTAAGCACGGAGATAACAACAGACAACAGTACCGCGTATACCTACGTAGTATACGTGACTGAAAAGACAGAAGTGCCATACCGTAACGTTGTTCCGGTACGTAAGTACGCGAATTATCGCACCCTGCTTAAAGTGAGGTGAATTATTGTCCTAGAACTGGATCAATATACTTCACCGGGTATCCAGCGTTATCATGTCATTCATGTGAGCAAAATAAAGTAACATATGGTTGACTAATATACTCATGAATTATTATGAGTTTGAGATGAAAAGAGTTAAGGCCACTGCCTGTTATATTTGCTGCACTAGCCACTTACCGGAACATTTTGCATCAAATAGGAAATTGCACCATCTCTCGTGACTGGAACAGATTTTCCTTTCTTTCTGCTACTTGACCTGTGCAGCATGTACGCCAATACATGTAATGCACAAAGATCACCTATACAACAATCAATGAGCAAATCAATTAAATTTAAAGTAAGGTCTGAGTATCGATCTGGCTGATGCATGTTATGCATGACAATGTTGCACGAGGACGGCGAAACATACAACACAAAATACAAGATGTGCCGAAAACATGTCCCTGGGCCGAAAGTCGATTTGATATCGTAATAGCCGGTTCCGCCTATTACGTATCCTGAATACAACTATACCATCATGATACTTTACCGGTATTTTCTTCATTATAGCACGTCCGAAAAGCATGCTGGTAGTTGCATTCAGAATACGAAATAAGGGAAACCGGTCATTGTAGATTGGTAAACATTGGAGGGCTGCATAATTCTGTTTTTTTATCATGGAATTGCTATAAGAGTGTGCATGTGATGACTGTACTTACTTTCTCCTTTAATGCTGATCAGCTGTTGAACTGCCGGATAATCTTGCTTGCCCAACGCAATTATCCTGGCTTGGAAAAATGGCCCCCATTTTGTGATAAAGTTGTCACACTCATCCGGGAACATCATTTGGAACTCCAAATTAATCTATAATTATAACAGAAACATATGTATAAAAACGAGGGGCATTTACAAATTCACACTGTCGCATTACTTTTCTATCATTACGTCAGCTGGTTAGCTAGAAAGTCCACCTCTTCATAACAATTAGAAAAACGTTTTCCTCCGGGTATAAATGACGCTTCTAGTGAAACCTATATGAACTGTTGTTACCTTTAACCAGGCCGGTACACATGACGTAACGGTATATAGGTGCCTGCATGCATGAAACGTACCAGATCTGGCATATCCTTAAATCTGGGATATTCTTCAATGATACTTGTAATGGTCATTTGCGACGCTTTGATGGCACTTCGCCGGTGTTGATGAGTGGCTTTAAAATGTTCAACATGTGTCGCGTGCTTGTCGTTGCTTGGCGGAGTGTATTTCATCCAGCAAATCTATATAGGAAAATTGAAGACAAGTTATAGTACAGTGACTTCGTTTTAGGCTTTCATTTGGTGCGTTGTAGTATTAACAAAACAGAGTAGGTCTCTGCATGTGTCTTACAGTATGATGACGTTGCACAAATTCAAATCTATTACAACATTTCAATTACAAACCTTCTCATTTAATTCTTGAGTCAATATTATTTCGTCTGGCTTTCCTGGGTCAGGAATTATTATATGATTAGAAGAAATCTCATCTTTGACTGCACATCTTTTCTTGCGTCGGCTCTCCTGGGGTCTTGCTGTTCTCACATTTTTTAGGCGATATTCAATAAAACCATGCCCATTGCAATAAAAATGTTCCTAAGTTAGAAAAGGTTTAACTTCTTCAAAAAAATCAACATTGTAGTATTGGCGGTTCCAGAAAATAATTGTAGACATGAAAGTGGTAAATTCTAAGTGAAGACAGACCATAGGCAATAGAACAAGACGGTTAGAGAACTTGATGCAGATATAATCGTCGTGTGTGTATTGTATTTTCGCCAGCAACACACGCGACGCGACGACAAGCCTACCATTTCTAGCATAAACCAAGCTAAAAACATATTATAAAGAGGTCTATTATATCTTCATCGAGTATCCTAGCCTTCTTATTATATTGACTATGGGCAGACTAATTAATATACACTTTGTGTTACTTTTCAATAAATATTATTTAAATATTACATCATATAATCACACATGACACATCATACACAACGTCTTGATTATTTTCTAAAACTTAATGTGCACCCCACCTTTTACAGAACCCTGCATGCATGGATTCATGTATATGGTTGAAAACAATTTAAAATAGCTACATGTAAATATGGTTATAGGAGTACAATGTGACCTCCCACATACAAGTTTCAAAATTTCACTTACATATCCCTTCATACCAGGAGTGTTATCTGCACTTGCTGGGTATATTTTAACTATTTGCTGTGCCAACATGGTCTTTTGTTCTGATGTAGGATAGCTGCAATGAAAACATAAAGAGAAGTATTTAAAGTAACTTGTCATGCCCTGTATTTACCTCAAATTATACTAAATGCTAATTACTACTTTTTTGAACAACGTTTCAACAAATTTTGCCAGTGCACGAAAACATCCAAAAAGAGAGTTGCATTGCTTCATTAGTCTCAACATATCAACTTAAATGAATAACAACTTGTGCTGAAATACACGTGTATGGTACGTGTCTGACTACCTCAAACCAGTGGTATATATAGTAACTTTGCTCTCCCAGCAGCGTCCGACGGCTGTTCAGGAAGGCAGTATATGTTCATCCCCGTTATATATAAACTCAACAGTTTGGTGATATGTATTTCAATCTACAGTTGGTACAACGAACTGACAACACACATACGCATGCCAACTACGCACACGTAAAAACGCACAAGTTGTTACAAATCTGCAAACAATTTGTTACAAATCTGTTCACAATCTGCTTAATGAACCCAGTTAATGTCACAAGTTTGGAACAAGCTGTTAACAAAAAACTTGTAGCAAGCTTGATGGCATTATCAGACTTGCAACAAGGTTGTTCCTACATGTCTGATACAGGCATGATAAACAAGAATGTTACAAGGTTTATGACACAAGGTTGCCATAACAATATTGCTATATCATGACTGTATCGGACGTGTTGGAACAATATTAGAATGTTAGGGTTTGTGATCCAAGTGAGAATATATACATTTTAAGACCTAACCAGGAACGACTGCGAAAAATGCAGCACAAGGTCCTCTGGTAGGAATTGAACCTACGGCCCTGCGATTCCGGTGCAGCGCTCTAACCAACTGAGCTACAGAGGCCAGCTGTTGAACTGTAACCGTAAGTTCATATATATATAGGTAATCGGGTGTGCGGGTTGTGATAAGGTGGACTTCAATAATTAGGATTCTTGCACTTCACTTGGTGGAATTAATATTAGAATGTTAGGGTTTGTGATCCAAATAAGAATCCTAATTATTGAAGTCCACCTTATCACAACCCGCACACCCGATTACCTATATATACATGAACTTACGGTTACAGCTTAACAGCTGGCCTCTGTAGCTCAGTTGGTTAGAGCGCTGCACCGGAATCGCAGGACCTTGTGCTGCATTTTTCGCAGTCGTTCCTGGTTAGGTCTTAAAATGTATATATTCTCACTTGGATCACAAACCCTAACATTCTAATATTAATTCCACCAAGTGAAGTGCAAGAATCCTAATTATTGAAGTCCACCTTACGTGTTGGAACAACCTTGTGATAATATCAACAAGGTTGTTACAAATTGTAAACAGCTTGTTCCAGACTTGTTGACAACTTGGGACAAGCAGTGCAAACACAACTTGTTGACGGCTTGTTGGCACACTTGCTACAAGATGTGAGATTTTTACGCGTGTAATAATATTTAATATTTCTATTGCGCGATTTTACATATTATGTATATGATCAAGTGCGCATTAGAATTCCAGCCGGAACTGGTGTGAAGCAGGCCGAGGTAAACTTTAAGCTTACAAATGGCGCTTTAAGCAGCCGCTTATTAGTGCATACCTCATTAATGATCTGCCCCCTAACGCCTAACCCACCCTGTCAACTTTCCCTGTGAAACCGGTGTACCCGGAGAAAACCCACGACCTTCGGCAGAGCGTTGACTTTTACTCTTTTTACGTGAGGACTGGGTTCGATTCACATTGAGAAATTCTCATTTAGGTTTGAACCTGCGACCTTAGAGGTGAAATTAAGGCAAGTGCGCTAACCACTTGGCCACCGAGGCCCCTAGGCCCTTGTAGCTGCAACCTAATAACCAACTTAAAAAACATTATAGAACTTAATATGTCACTTTTTTCCAGTTAATATTACCATTGATACAAATGTCTGTTCCCATGTGAAATTATTTTTTTTCACATGCTCTCGAATCATAATGTTTGTTTCCCTCAACTTGGTCTAAGGAAGCACTGAAACTCGAGAAAATAAAACCACTTCCCTTGGGAGCAGACATTAAGTGTACATCATATACTTACAGACCACATTGTTCCACTAAGCATGACACTGATATTTTAATCAGTGTCCGTCTTTGTTTATTGGACAAGATACCACCTTCATCCAAGTGCATATCTACTTTGCAACCATCAGTGTGGTTTTTCATAGCCTCTTTAATGTTGAAGTTAATCTATAATACGTCAAATGATGTGGCATATTTAAGTAAATTTAAATTTCATCTAAATTTCAAACTGCTTCACTTTTATTAATTACACTGAAGAAGTCTTCATAATATCCCATTTTATCCACCACGATTTTCAAAATGTCTAAATTTCTGGTGGGTTTTTACACAAACAAACAAACAAACTGTGACGCCTAAAGTTGTTACGGACAGGCCAATGTAATTGCTTATATTAATAAACAAGTACTGTAATTACCTTTTTGCAAGGTGAAATATAAGTGCATTCAAATTTTCTTTTCTTTTCATCATCAATGGGCTTTTCTAGATGTTGCACAATTTTGGAGGTAATAGGTTCATTAGATTCATCCTAGAGTACAGTACAATAAAAGGATTAATGGATTATACAACTTGTATCAATTCTGTTTCTCGCATATAACCTGCCGCACACGAGAACTTGCTGAGCTAGTTACTACATTTCTGAGGGAGCATGCTTCCATTCTCCCTAGCGGTCTTACGCCTTTGGCACTCGAGTGTAAATCAAATGAAATGTTTAGTGCAAATCAAGTGCTGTCCGCCCAGTAAAGGCCCTAATATGTCTAAGCTGACAAAATATTAGGTAGCTACTATACTATAATTTAGTACGTATTTCTCATAATTCGAATGGGATACATATAATGGGAAGGTAGGTAGGTAGAAAATGGGCGGGCAAATGGAATTAAGGCTGAAAGAAAAAAGAAAAGAAAAAACAAAGAACAGCGACAATAACGAAGAATATACATACAGTAACTGCTTCACAATTGTATAATTTATAACTCTCCGCACTGTTGAATTACTGTGCGACAACAATGTAATTGTTGTAATTGTAACTATAATTGACTTTAACTACATTTATATATCCGTTTCAAATCTTACCACAACAGTAATCTCAGCTAATTTGGATTTATTCATCTGCTGGATAAGTATGCTGAGTTTTCGCCTCGCACCAAATGACTGCACTCCGATTGTATTCAGATCATCTTCGGTCAGTGTTGCAAAAACAACGATGTCCACTTCATTTTCTAAAAAGTCGGAGAAGCACACTAAGTTATTGATCATATTAACACATTAATGATAGGATGGTAGTTTTTCTCTGGCAATTCGATGTGTTAACCACAACCTCGTGATTATTGTTACGTCACTGCGAATCCACTGAAATCTTACCGCACTGTTATATGTTACTTCTGGACAGTACTGTTATTATAAAGTAAAACGTATATGCATTGTAAAGATTAGGTTACCTGCAGTAAAAGTGATGCCTCCTTTGTTTGTTCTCCACCATTATTTAGCAATATCATTACACAATGTAATACATACGTGGTACAAAGTGCCCCATCAGACGTAAGATCTTACATATGCTACAGTATAGCTAGTAAAATATCCAGTCAGTTTAACTAACCTAACAATTATTGCAACCTAACGATTATCACAAATGTATTCAACAACAGTGTAATAGTAAAAAAATGTGAAGTGAAATATACATAATCAAGGCTGAGCAACATATCGATAATTGACTCAAAGATCTGTGCCAGCTAGGTAGTGACAATAAGATAGCTGCGGATTAAGAGGAATTGAACTTCCTGAAAAATACAAGTATAACTTCTACGTTTTGAGCGAAGGCTTTTCGTTGTAGTATGATCTAGAAAACACATGTGCTTTTAAAAGCACATGTATTCCCAAGAACCATGTGTCTTTTCCATGTATTTTCCAGACCATGCTACTAACTTCCCGGTGCATGCAGAGCCTTCACTCAAACGTCGTATATTCTTAAAGGGGAAGTGTCACGGCGCTGATTGGCTAAAATAAGCAATAGATTGGCAAACAAAACGTTTAAAATTAATGCTACATGATTGGAAAAGATGCATCAGCCTTCAATTTTTAGAACAAAGCAAGGATTTCCTGCATAACGGAGGGTTATAAATAATATCTCGTATTTAACTCCTAACTTAATTAATTGTTGGCAGACAATTTTTCAAGTTCACGCATATTTTGGATTCGCAGTAGAAGGGTGACACTTCCCCTTTAACTCACGTGCTATGTGTTAGGTAAATAACTTAATCTTGTATCTGCATTAGAGAATAACGAGGAGATATGTATATTGGCGAATTGGGTTCATATGTTCTTAACCCAGATAAAGGAAGGTGGTCTAAAAGTTGACTTGGAGGAACAATAGTAAATTCAGGGGTCTCTAACTCTGCAATTTCAAAAGAATGGAAATGTGCTACAAACCCCTTATTCTTATATTTCTCAAGAACAAAGTACACATCATCGGACGTCTGTCCACCAACCAAAATACTACTTATTTTTGAAAATTGTGGGGTGTCATTCTCTACAACTGTAGGTAAAAAAAGATTTGGTTTGTAGTTAGTTCCAAATAATGAAACTTTGCCTGCTACAAACACTTCACTTTCTTTTTCAAGCTGCAGAAATTCCATGACCATCTCACTTCCTTTCAGTGACTCAACTGCAGTCATGCCCCCTTTTAAACATTCAATGTCAGCCCTCATTGCACCTCCAGACCATGCAGCGCATTGCAAAACTTGGTGTTTGCATGCAACTGACTTGCAAATATTCTTAAAATTGCAATTAACAGATGCTACCCGTTTACTGAAACCATGTTTCAGTTCATACTTCAAGCACTGCATTGTAACCATGGGGCCAGACATTCGTATGCAATTTGGATAATGTATCATGTGGTGTTGCTTGTTGATCATTCTGCTCTCAGGGAAAAGCATCTTAAAGAGTGTATGATGCTCAGCAATCAAGTGCTTCAGGTAAACAGTTTGACTTAAGGCGACCAAAGGGGCATATATGATATCCATGCATTGAAGGAGCAATAGCAACAGACTGTAGTGAATATTCCCTTGTGGAATTCGATCTCCAACAAGAAGTGGAAGCATTCGAACAAGACACCACATCTGTGCTGCTTTTTGCGCCAATTTATGGTCCTTGCTGTTTCGCAATCGATCCGATGCTAGAACAGTTGGTTTATTCTTCTTATCAGTTTTGGAATAGTGGAAAGATCTTATACGTTGGTTCAATTCTGACAATGTGAAGAACTGCTCAGAGAATATAAAGTGGTTAAGCAATAGCTTTACTTCATAGGGGCACACACCTTCAAGCATATCATGCATCACATCAAGATTAAAATTTGTAACACAGTGGAAGTTCTGCAAATTGTTTAAAGAGCATGAAGTGCGGACACCTGTCCCAGAATCTCCATTTCGGAGAAGGGCAGCAGCTTCAACAGAGTCATCATGGTCATCTATTTCACGCTGTTCAAAGTCATCTTCCTCAAAATAGATTTGGATCGTCTCTCGGGTTGCCTTGCATAACCTACATAGCAAATTAGCAGACGGACTCAAGAAACCCAGCAATTCATGTGCAGCCAAGGTATCTGCACTGTACGAGACCAAAGTACCATGAACCTCACAAACACTACCATCCCAATGAAGTTTGACCCCACTGTCACTTTCCAGTTGTTTTATTTCCTTGATGAAGGGATCAAGGATTGGCTGGAAGCCATACTTCTTTATATCAGAAGTATAGCAAACAGCTAAAAGAAACACACTATTCATGGAAGTATTTACGTTAAAAGGCAGGTTTTGAATCGTGTAGTAGAAGAGACCTAATTTATGGATGCCTGTCTTGCTACCAAGGGGATTTGTAACTTCTACGTCATCGTAGAAAAGCTGAAGTCGCAATGCTTTAGGGTGGGTTTTAAAAATACCATGTTGTTGGTATTGCTGCCCATCCTGGTATCCTCTAAGATAACCAGGTGGCGAGGTCTTTTCTCTATCAATTAGGCCTTGGACTTCTGGTTTAAGAACAAGCTTAAGAACATCTAGTACTGGGATGTACTGAAATGTTTCTGTTACTACCTTCGGTACATATTCGCCAGTAATCCTATCTTCTACCTGATCTATCCGCGTGCCCAATGCTATCTCTTTTGGAAGAACCAACATAAGATTGTCAACCATGTAATTTATTTGTTGCCTTGGTGTTTCAATACCTAAGTATGGGTTTTCGAAAGATGAAAACTTTGCGCACAGACGTTGAACATCGTCTGACGTTGTATCAACCTCGTGCATTTGCATTACATGCAACATATTATGCTTAAGTGTTGTAAGGGTGTCTTGGAACATAACCTTTGTACCACGTATGACATGTTCAATTGCAGTAAAAGGCACAGCAGCAGTAGATTTAAGCTTCATTATCATGGAGAGAGCAAGTTGTTTCAAGTTGTCTATGCTAAAAGTTTCAGCATAATTTTCGTCCTCTTCCTCCAGGTCATCATCATGGTCACTTACAGGATCAACATGCATTGCCATTGGTTCGTCTTGTGGTTGCTGACCAGCAGCCACGTGCTCGTGTAAATTGTTATTTGTGTGCTCGCGCCTAATGTGTCTCAAGAACGAATTCATTAAATTGAATGTTCTCTGGCATCCATGTTGTCCACAAACAAGTTTTTCACCAGGACCTGATGTTGTATGGCAAGCACGCAAATGCAGTGCCAGTGCTTTTGTTGCATCTTTTGCATGAACATTCTTCCCACACTTAAAACATGTCACATCCATTTTTTTCTCATCATTGTATCTTCATTTAGTAGCTGGTCAGATTTCCTTAAATTTATACGTGCAAATATTACAATTATTATTATTTTACAATGTTGAGATTTCGCCGAAATCAACCACATTGACTTTGAAGGAGGGGACTTATATGACCATGGTGCCAATATTTTTTAAGAGATCAAAGCGCATTTTGCAGTGGTGTGTTTGTACATACTTTGTTGTTGTGAAGTCTTACATGATACTTTCCAACTGCATCACAAGTGGACCACATTTTTGCAGTCTGTGATTTAATCACCTCTGTTAATCCATTAAGGGGCAAGGGCACACCACTTTAGTCTCAATGGTCTAGTGAAAAGTAGTTATTTTTCAAGAAACATTTTTCACACCAGAATCTACCACTTCTCTTTTAAAATTGCACAAAACATATGGGATAAAGCATCAATTTCAACACTCAAGTTTAGGGGTGGATTAATGGTGTCAAGTCATCCATGGAACTTCCTTTTGATAACCCTGCAGGTAGTTGAAACCTCCCATAGGATATTTATTGGATATGAAAAATCACTTACTGTGACAGTATAATGCACTTATCATTGGCTTTTCACAAGGGTCTAATCCTAGTAAACTTTGTTTTCATCCAAAAAACGATTGTTTGATGTTCAAAACAAGTACTGTATAACAATTTTCGGTTAGTACAGAAAACTTGGTCAAAAACCACCATAAAACACTCAAAAATCAAATTGCTACTTAACAGTATTGCGTACTGTGCAAACTTGAGCACATGCACAAACAAAATTCCTAACTTTTGGATGAACATGTTTTGGTGTGCACTTTTTATCTTGCCAAAATTTCGAATCCCGTTTTATTTCTTTACCAGATAGAGCGCATCATTAAATTCGCACTAGAATTTGTATGATTATCGTATTTATAGACGGCAGACACAGTGCTTTAGTTTTCTACAAGATGTTGCCACAACAAACCACTGACCAGAGATGTAAGCAAAACAAGACAAGTAAGAAAGTCCAGGTATTAGGTTGCAAACATGATTCATGATAATTTGAAATAATTCCCCTTTAATTAACCCATTGAGCACCAGCACTATAATCCCCTTGAGGAGTAAATAGTCTGGCGTTAGACAGATACAATAATAAAGTAGAGTGCAATGCAACTCAGTGGGTTAAAATGGGGGTGGTGATAATAATTATACCGGTACTAAAAAGCCTTTTATGTCTCTAGATTTAAAATTGTGAAGTTGCAAAGGTTCTTTTAGTTCACTTCCTTTGTAAATGCATGCCCAAATTCCAGATGCACAGCTGCTTTCTCATGCCTGTAAGGTAAAGAATACTTTCTATTACTCCAGTTGTAGCTGCTGCTGGCATGATACAGTATATGTTGATATACCTATAACCAACTGAGCTACAAATTGCTGTTGTTGAGCTCTTGGGTTATATAGATGGATAATATACATGTGCAAATTTTATACATTTTATTTACCTAACCAGGAGCAGTTGCAACTATTATGGCCCTCTGGCAGGAACTGAAGACACTGAATCTGCGGCCCCACTCCAACACTATAACCAACTACCAATTAATTACTGGGCTACAAATTGCTGTTGTTGAGCTCCACCCATAGTATACCGTAAACCTCTGACTATAGGCCCCCCCAAATATAACCCCCCCCCGAATATAAGCCCCAACGAATATAAGCCCCGGAATATAAGCCCACCACATATACTAACGCTCAATTCATTCCAAATATAAGCGCCCCCCCGAACATAAGCACACCCAAATATAAGCCCCCCAAATATAAGTCCCCCGAATATAAGCCCAGTAGCCCACTACGTTATTCAACATTTTCATTGTCTTTTAATATAGCAGAGAATGATATTTAAAAACATTGTCATTGTCTTTATAGC